AAAAAATCAATAAAATATATTTTAAAAAAATAAAAGGATCTACCTTGAACTCTGGACTATTTGTTATTAAACCACAAGCAATTTTCTTTCTGTTCTTTATGAACAGCACATCTCAAAGCTTTTTTTATTGGTATAGGTTTTTACTAACTGCACTATTTATTTTATTATATACTAGAGGCCCAGTGCATGCATGCACTGGTAGGATCCCTAGTGGATGCCAGCTGCCAGCCGGGGCCTCCCTTCCTTCCCCCGGCCAGCCCCAACCCCTGGTCAAACTCCCAGACAACTTCTGGTTGAGGGGACAGTTTGTGTACTACGCTTTTATTATATAGGGTTATATCATTTGTAATATAGGACATAGAATGAAACTGGTAAAACTTCTCAGTGGACTTTTCAGATTTGCCATCCATCTTATACTTACCCTTCGTTGCATATGTATGTGTGTATAATACATAGATATTAATAGTTATGCCGTATATACTCCATTCTAATGTAGGAAATTGACATTTTTCAATTTAATGGCATGAATGAAAGTATGGAAACCCCAATAACTATAGATAACCTTTGGGTCTGAAAGAGTTAAAACAGTGTCAAAAATGCTTAATTTATAACTTCATTGAAATATGAAAATATAACATCCATCCCAATGATACAACTTAACTAAAGTTGTCATGGATGAAAGAAGAAAATATCAATAATTGAAACTATAACAGGAATATCTCGAAAACATAGAAAATGTGGTTTTCCCCTCATAACTGCTTTTCTATTTGTAGTTTTAGTTTCTTAATGATATAACAGTAGAATATTTATAATACAAATATTAGCTAAAAGTTGGGTAGTATATAATTTTTTGTATTTGTTAATTGCTTAAACTTCTGAATGCTATTACATGTTAACAAACACAGACTTTGTGTTACTGCTGTCCTTTGGCCACACCTGGTCCCTGCCCTTGCTTTTAGAAAGCAGCGGCAAGCCCTAACCGGTTTGGCTCAGTAGATAGAGCGTCAGCCTGTGGACTCAAGGGTCCCAGGTTCGAGTCTGGTCAAGGGCATGTACCTTGATTGCGGGCATATCCCCAGTAGGGAGTGTGCAGGAGGCAGCTGATCGATGTTTCTCTCTCATCGATGTTTCTAACTCTCTATCCCTCTCCCTTCCTCTCTGTAAAAAAAAAAATAAATAAATAAAAAAGAAAGAGAGAAAGCAGCAGCAAAGGTGTGAACAATAGAAGGGCCAGTGAGGGTGGAGGCAGCTGCACCAGTCACAGGGCTCTGGATGCGGGCTGGCCAGTGGGTAATGGACATATCAGTTCCAGTTCAATACCAATGTAAAGAATTTTGGACAGCCACCTTTGCAGCATGTGCCTGAAAAACATTTTCAGCAGTGTCAAATTTGTTCCCATTGACCTGCCAATAGGATTTTTGAAATTTCAGCTAACTCTTTACTTTCTGTAGCATTTGGGATTTGGAGAGTGAGGCATAATTAAAATTCACGGGTAATTCTCTAATCTCCTTTTAGCCTATTAACAATGGTATTAATCCTTTATCAGCTCTGCTTAGCTGGAAAGACTGGAGCAGTGATGGCGAACCTATGACACGCGTGTCAGAGGTGACATGCGAACTCATTTTTTTTTGGTTGATTTTTCTTTGTTAAATGGCATTTAAATATATAAAATAAATATCAAAAATATAAGTCTTTGTTTTACTATGGTTGCAAATATCAAAAAATTTCTATAGGTGACACGGCACCAGAGTTAAGTTAGGGTTTTTCAAAATGCTGACACACCGAGCTCAAAAGGTTTGCCATCACTGGACTGGAGTGATCTTACCGCTCTAATTTCTTTTAATCTATGGCCTCCTGATGATAATAAATTATTACCATACTAGAGGCCCGGTACATGAAATTTGTGCACTGGTGGTAGTTGGGGGGGGTCCCTCAGCCTGGCCGGACATCCCTCTCACAGTCCGGGGCTCTCACAGTCCAGGACCCCTCGCTCCTTACTGCCTGCCTGCAGTGGAGGTGGGAGAGGCTCCCACCACCGCCACTGTGCTTGCCAGCCATGAGCCCTGCTTCTGGCTGAGCAGCACCTCCCCTGTGGGAGCACACTGATCACCAGGGGACAGCTCCTGCATTGAGCATCTGCCCCCTGGTGGTTAGTGCGTGTCAGTGACTGGTTGTTCCACTGGTCATTCCGCATTCAGTTGATTTGCATATTAGGGATTATTATATAGAATTGTAATTATTACTAAGGTAATATTTAGTGATGCTTACTCTGTTCCAGTCATTTTTTTCTAAGTGCTTTACATGTATTAACCACTTTAGTCTTCATAGCAACACAACAAGGTTCCTCATCCCTAGTTAAAAAATGTGGAAACTTATATAGAATTGTAATTATTACTAAGGTAATATTTAGTGATGCTTTTTTTTCTAAGTGCTTTACATATATTAACCACTTTAGTCTTCATAGCAACACAAGAAGGTTCCTCATCCCTAGTTAAAAAATGTGGAAACCGAAGCCCAGAATAACTTGCCCAAGATTGTATACCTACTAAGTGGTAGAACCAGAATACAAACTGCAAGCTAAGGATGGTGAAATGATATAAAGCCAGATGAGCATTGGGAAGAAATGGAGGAAAAAGTCTGGCTATTTCATAGTTCAGTATAGTTAATTTTTTTTTTTTTTTGGATAGTTTGCTTTAACTAGAAAATTAGGATGAATTAGTTTCATGGGATGGGCTGTATGGCTCTTCTCTGTGTGTCTTTGTGTGTATTAAAGGCCTTTGAATGCTCTAAAATACAACAGATTGTGTCTGATCATTGTTAGAGAAGTTTATTTGTAAAAAAAAAAACCATGAGCTGTTTCCTCAAGAGAGAAATTAAGGAATGTGTCTGATGTTCACTTTAGTGTTTGTTTTTAACAAAGCCCTAAAGAGTGACCTAATCCCATAGGAGGAAGTAGGTATAGTAAGTCTGGTGCTCTTCCCCCCCCCCCCCCAAATAGAAATCTTTTTCCTTCCTTTGGTTATAAAAAATAGTACATGCTCATTGCAAAGACAGTAAAAAAAACAACAACACTAAAATTCTGTAATTCCAATACTCAGAAATAGCTTTAACAATTTTTGGACACCATTCTTAATCTGTAAACATACACAAACTTTTTGTTTACACAAAATTAGTAATCTCCTTTTTACACTCAACACTATATCTTAGACATTTTCCCCTGTCAATATCCTTTTTAAAGGCTTCAAATATTTCAGCGTATGGATATACCAAAAATGTATTTAAACAGTTCATGTTGCCCTTAAAAAATGAATGAACACATGCCTCTGTAATCTTATAGTTTGAGTTGAAATTCATTTTTTTAATATCACTCTTTCCTCTTTGAAATCCATTTGTTGTCTATAAAATGTAGAATGTAAACTAGTTTATCTCTAAGATATCTTCCAACTCCACATCCTATGATTTCTAATTCTGCTCAGTGAATTTTTAGAGCTGAGAGCTGCTCCTATACTGTTGTCAACCATCTTCTGCATATCCGGCCATGTCTCTGTTTCTTCCTCTAGCACCTATTTCATAGGGCTATTGTGAGAGTTAAATTAAATAATTATAAAGCTCCTTACCCCTCCCTTCTTTAACTTTCCCATTTTGGCTGGACTGCAAATGATTTAAGGGTATAGAGTGCATCCTATAATTTCTTGAATTCTTTATGTTGTCTAAGTTGATACATCCTCCTGACACAAAAGTTGAAATATGATTCAATATATGTACAAGGCAGTAGAATGTATTATTGAAGCATCATCTGTGTCACCTCACCTGGACAAGAAAGTATATAAGTAAATAGCATTCAGGAACCCCCAGTTTTCAGCTCTTGTCTACTTTTTGAGTCTCAGGTTCCTCAACTATAAACTGAATGGGTGAGACTGTCTTCAGTGTTCTTTCTTGTTCTGACTAGTTTATGATGTTATGACATGTAGACATTTTTAAAAATAAACATTGTGTTTTAAGTTAAAGCAATAATTAAATGCTTCAGTAATATGAGCAGTTCTATTTAAAAATCTCTTCACCTTAATAAGACTTGTCTTTTCCTATCTTTCATTGCCCTGGTTTTCTACAATGTTGTGATCAACGTGTGTGTTCAATTTTGAGTTTGTTTCTATTTTCACTGTTACCACATAATGTTCCAGGTGTATTAACGTAGAAAGTTTTGAATTCATATTGTTGATAAGTAAAGGAGCTAACCTTTTTTTATTTATTTTTTTCTCCTCGAAGCACTGTACTTGAATTGTTAGGGTAGCTTTTCTGTTTTTGAATCTGGATCTTGACTAATTTCTTAAAAATAATGATAGAATAGAATTTAAACTATTGGCTGGTTTCATGAAATGTTTAGCAGTTTATGTGTGGATATGTGTGTTTACTTACTCATGACTGCTTTAGTTCCCAAAATTAAGGCCTTAAGTGAAATATAACTGTGCATCCCCTCTGCCCAGGATAAATGTATAAGAAATAAAATTTTATCACACTAATAACTTTAAAAACCCTCTTAGATATAAATAGATAAACCACACTCAGATAAAGCACAGAAGAGAAAACTCATATTCACCCATGATGTGCCTCAGTTATTAAAAGTACACAAGAACTGTGTTACTATGAGAGAATTTTTGATATATCCCTGGCAGCAGGAACCCCCTGGGAGTGGGAATTACTCGGGTTCCCAGTCGTGGGCAGTGTCTCCTGGGGCCTGGGTGGAGGCTGAGCAGGGTGGAGACCAGGTGACAGCTGGTACTGGTTTCTCTGGCGACCAAAACACTGGAACAAATAGTCAGACTTGTCCTGAGCTCCACATTGCTTCCTGTCTTTAGTTGTGCTCTTGTGTCTAGTGACACAGTGGATACATTTGCCTGTATTTCTCAGTTGGTGGTGGAGGGCAGGCTGTGGAAGTATGTTTGAAAATGTTTCATTGAGATCCTACTACATGATATACTTGCTTTTATATTGCCTTTCAGAATTAAAGCCATAGAGAGTCCCAACAAAGAAGATGATACCCAGTGGCTGACCTACTGGGTAGTGTACGGTGTGTTCAGCATTGCAGAATTCTTCTCTGACCTCTTCCTGTCCTGGTTCCCCTTCTACTACATGCTAAAGGTATGTGGACAGTTCCCGACACTGCTCTGTCTCCTTTCATATATGGACTTGATTTGCCCCCTACCCCTAAAGAAACTCCATCTCAGGACCTATAAACAAGAATAGGAACAAATAAATGCTTGAATGTTAGACATCTGTGGCTCTGCCTCAGATCCTATGAACAGGAAGACAAGATTCAGCACGTCTAATATTTTTTTGCATACTGTCTTGGAAACAGCTATAGCAATTGTGTGTTTAAGATGAAGGTGATAGTAAAACATGGAAATACTATGACCTATCACAAACACTGCTGCTCGCCAAGATCCTATCTGTGTGCAGTGTTGTCTACATTTAATGTGAAAGCATTGCAAATTTTCATAGGCCATAGATTAGTCCCAGTGGTGAGCGTATTCCAGGGAGGAGTCGTTATTTGTGGAAGAAGAAATACTTTATTCTTATGTAGCTTTGGAGAAAGAAGATGGAAAATGGGCTCTTTGCGGAAATCATTTTAAGAGCATTGGAGAGAAAAAAAAAGAACGTTGGCGGGTACCCTAGTTGGGGTCAGCCCTGACAGCGCCTGTGTTGGGCTGAGGATCCCCAGCATGTGGGGAAAGAAGTGGAAGTTGAAACTCGTTCCCATGGGACCTGTATCCACTCCAGATTTGCACCAGAGGTGAATGGGAAAGAAAGAGCTCATGCGTTTTAATAGCTAGAGTGGTTCTTTCTCCCTAAATGGGACAGGCTGTCTTCAGTTGATCCTCAAGTGTCTTCCATGGCGGAAGCCCTGCTTCCTGTCAGTTGGGTAGGATGTAAGTAGCCTGGTTCTCAGCCAGGCTTCCCACACGAGAGGGTGTGTGCCAGCCCCTTTGAAGTCTGGGCTCTCCTCTTTCCCTTCAGACCCCTAAGCACTTGTTTTAATAAAAGCTGCACATCACACAGTTTAAAGATTCAAATAGTTCTGTCAGAGAGTTGAAGAACAGCAGTTCTGCCTCCTCTGCCCCCTGTATTGCTTCTTCAAAAGCAACCATGTCCCTTCATTTATGGCAGATTATCTTGCCATTTAACTCTGTCTCTAAATAATCTTTTTTTAAAAATGTATATTTTTATTGATTTCAGAGAGGAAGGGAGAGGGAGAGAGAGATAGAAACATCAATAATTAGAATCATTGGTCGGCTGCCTTCTGCACATCCCCCACTGGAGATCGAGCCCGCAACCCGGGCATATGCCTCACTGGGAATCGAACCATTACTTTCTGGTTCATGGGTCGATGCTCAACCACTGAGTTACACTAGCCAGGCTAAATAATACTCTTGTTTAGCCCCCTTTTAACTTTTCTATTTTTCACATTAGCTCTTGAGTCACACTGGAAGATAAGGATCTGGCTCCCTTTCCTCCCTTGTCCCCCACACATGCAGCCTCTCTTGTCCCCATCTTCCTCAGGCATCTGTATCATAATGTTGGGTAGGTAAATATTCACCCTCACTTTATTATGATTTTGTAAATACTATTTAGGGCCATCTAGAGTATAGAAGGATTTAAAAATAAATGTAAAATTCCCTTTTTCCCCTGATTATGAAAAGAGCATATGTTCATTTCTTTATTCAGCAGGTACTTATTTAGAACCTCTGTGTGCCAGAATCTGTTCTAGGTTTGGGGGAAACTTTGGTGAATAAAACAAAAGTATCTGCCGTCACACTGCTTACAGTCGTATGTGTGTGTAGAGGGAGCATGTTTTAGATGAGGCACAAAAAAGCATTTGAAACCCTACCACTGTTAACATCTTAGGGTAGTCTTCCTATTTATTTTAATGTGCAAATATATTGGTCTATGACATAAATACACACAGAACTGTGCATATTATTGTCGTAACCATATATGTATTGCTGAGGCATATATGATATACAGTTCTATATCTCACTTTTTTCAGTTAATACAATACTCTGAGTATTTTCTCATGTTATTCACTATTCTTTGTCGTAGCTGACTATCCATTATAGACAATAATTTACCCGATCCCCAATGGAAAGACATTTAGATTTGCTTTGCCATTATAACTAATGCTGCAATGAATGTCTGCACCTCATCTTTACTGTCATTAAAATCATTTTCCAGATTAATTTTTAAAACAAGGTTGAATAAACTGTCAAGTTTAAGTCTGATCCAGACTGTCACCTGAACTGTTTCACCCATTGACAAAGAGCATAATGTTTGTCTTGTCAACTTTGTAGGAGGCAAAAAAGATGGAGAAATCTTCCCCTCCACATGTTCTCTTCGAGCTTTTGTTTGTGCACTCTGAGCAGTCCGTTATAACCCAGCGCATCACTATTCCTGTGGCCACCTTGCAAAGGCTTCCTGAGATGTAGATAACTGATGAAGTGATTGCAGTATATCAGGAGGCCAGTGTTGAAATATGTGTTTTTCTGACAGTAGCTCTCAGTTTTGACCAGGCTAGTCCCAAACTGCATATTAAGCATATCCCTACCTTGGAATTAAAACTCTTCTAGGGAAAAATTGGATGGTGACATTAGAATCACAGACAGAATGATCTGTCCTATTGTAATTTGTAATGAAGGGATTCTGTGTGTCGGTGCTAATAGTGCCAAGAGTCCTGTTAAGAAAGCACGGACTCTTTGAACCACAGGTAAGAGTGGGCTGGTGTTTGCACTTGGGAGTATCAGGAGCCTGCACTCAGGACAGCTTGACTAAAAGGATGGCCAGGCCGTGTAGCTCAGGATATCCTGGGCTGTGGCATAGTTACACAGATTAAGAGAAGGGAGTTAGTTACAAAAGCTGGTGGCTGAATATCACCTTGAGAATTGAACAGTAATTAACTTTATTTTTAATACAAGGAAGTTATTTTACTTGAGAGCTGGAAAATGCTAAGGATGTAGGTAGAGAGTAGTAATTATTTTTCTGTCTCAAGAGCGTGCTGAAAAGAACTAAATTAACAGTCCGGAGTATAGCCCATAAAGTAATCACGTTGGAGAGGTGCAGACATATAGACACTTGGCTCCGGCCCTGTCTGGTAGTCTGGCCTTAATTCATCCAGAAAAGGGATGAAGCAGCTTTTCTGGACTGCTGAAGGGTTGATATCTACATAGGTAAATAATATTTCAGAGATTTTCAACAACAGTATGAACTATAGGACTTGGCGATGCTACTACTATCCTATATACTTTCCTCAAGTACATTAATTTGGGACTTTCCTAAAATCCTGCGGAGAAAATTAACTCAGAGAGGTTGATTTTCCTAAAGTCATAAAGTAGATATCAACTCTCCTGCTTCTTAATCCAGTGAGGTATTTCCACTTCACATTGATCCCCAGGGTTATAATATGGGCACCGTATCTACATCAGTAACCCATTCCTGAAAATCAGATAGTCTATGTAGGAAGACCAGCCAGGAGACTATTTCTTACAATTTTAAATGGTAAGAATTAAAATTTATTAATGTCAATGTAAACTCCATACCAATTTTCTAAATATTAACAAAACACAGCAAAGCACCCCTATACAGGTAACAAATATCATACTAGGATGTTAGATGCTAAAAACAACACTCTCCAAATACAGATGCTCCTCTACTTTTGATGGGGTCACGTCCCGATAAACCCATTTCAAGTGGGAAATACTGTAAGTTGAAATGCATTTAATACACCTAACCTACTGAACATCATAGCTGAGCCTATGTTCTACTGAATGAGTGTTGTGTTCTTGCACCATCATAAAGTAGAAAAATCATTAAGTCAAATCAGTAAATCAGGGACAGACCATCGGTAGTTAATCTAATTGGTAAGAAACTATTCCTTTTTGTGCAGTAGTACATGGTACATCCCATTGGATATCTGCATACTCTTCAAAATGCCTACATGGAATTCTGATGTTCTGTCGAGAATATAACTTTTCCTCCACCCTCCACTTCATTTTGTTTAAATTGTTGCATTGTGTCTTGGATATGTATGCATTACCTATATAAGCAACCAATGGACAACACTGTACGAATGGATATTAAAAACGAAGGGTCTTCCACCGAGAAATGTTAGAGAGATGGTCCAGCCTGATCTCCCCTAACCACCTCTGCCTGCTGACCTGATCGGCCCCAACTGCCTTCCCGCCAACCTAGTCACCCCCAACTG